GCCTTGTTTGGACTCTCCTCCCTTCTCAGAAAGGTCTTAGCTGGTTGGCAGGCTTCATCTTTGCCTCTTTTCCAGAAAACATTCAACTGGAGTGCAGACAGGTCCCCTTTGGGTGTCATTCCCTATCTCATGACTCGTCTGCAGAGCCAGTGGCTCTCAGATAACCTGTTGTCTGTGTCACACCAGCTTCAGCTTCCCTATTTCTGATGCCTCCCTGAAAGATGTCCCCTCTGTACCAGCAACCTGTTGTATAATGTAAGAGCCTCCTGAATCTTGCAGGCTTTCCCCACCAATGCCTAGTGCTGGGAATGGATGTGCTGGAAAGAAACTTGCCTTTGCCTCAGCTGTCAAAACGAAATGTAGTGTCACTACTGGCAGTAATCAGTGCTGTCCTCATGGGCTCAGCTTGGGGTGACTACGTGGGCACTGGGCTCTGTGTCACCTCTGGCTGCCTACAGTTCCAGGTACCTGTGGTACCTCACGGTTTTCCCGGGGACAGAGGCACTGATTTAGGCCTTCCCTTTCCTTAGGACAGGCCTGACACTGAAGCCCAGGCAAGGTGGCACAGAGGCGAGGTGACATATATGCTGCAAAGCTGGTCATGTCTGAGAGGCACAAAGCAGCGAAGGGTGGCAGTATCCAGCCATGATCTCCGCTTTCTGGAGGAAGAAGCTGCTTCCTATTCTTCTGCCAAGGCAAAGGACCAAAATAGAGCACCCCAGAGAAAACAAAGGGACAGCATCTCACTTATTCACCAGGCGCCTTTTACTGTGTCAGTGCCTCTGCAGGGGTCACAGGAGGAGAGGGGAGGAAAAGACACGGTAAGAACAGGAATGGCAGTGAAGAGGCTTAGGAGAGGCTTCTCCTCAGCGGCTGCTGCTCGCTGCAGCAGGGAGCAGCAGCAGTGCCCAGGGCAGTGCAGCTCTGGACTCTTCTAGCACAGGTTTCGGAGCAGCGTTGGGCCGTGACAGAGGCCAGGGAGGGATCTCCCCTGAGCAATAGCCTAGATGTGTTCCAGGCTTGTTGCCATCCTTCCTAGCCTGGGGAAGATGTAGTTGAAATATGAAGAAACCATCCTGCCATATGGATTGTTGATGACCCTATCTTCGCTGTCCCTCTTACGGTCTCCTGTCGTCTTCCAGCCCTGCCTAGCACCACGTGCCCCTCCGCAGAGCAGAGTCAAGGAGCCCAGGGAAACTCAGCTGCAGCCCTTGCTGCATAGCCTGGCCTGGAGACCCCGTGGCTTGGACTTTCCTTCTGTGATACTATACAAGCTAATCTAGCCTTCTTAAACATGTGCACACACACTACCTTCCCTCGTCCAGAAGTTATTCCTCTCTGGTAATTTTTTTAATTGCTCAGCGCAAAATGCCTCCTTACGTCTTTCCACATGTTTCCTCTTGGCCCAGTTTCTCTGCCACAGCCCTGTGGGCTGCAGTTGACCTGCACAGCCCCTCCATTAGAGCGAGCGAGCGAAGTGTCCTGGCTCCAGCAGTGCCTGAAGCAGCTGCTCCAGGAACAAGCGTGTGAGACCTGGCCTAGCAGCCGCAGGGGTTCGGGGTGCCGGGCTGCAGCAGGCAGCAGCACGGCAATCTGCTCCCTGCACCCTGACCCAGCCTTCCCTCTCAGCCCTCCGAGAGATCACAGGCACGGAGGCAAGTGTGGTTGTGATCCAGTGTCTTACCCTGAGGACAGGACTTAAGATTTTAACAGGTAGTGTGAACTACTTTGGGAACCAGTGTGGGATGTAGGGCACTGGATGCTGAAAGCAGAAAGTGCCTCTCCCGGTTCAAGCAGTGTGTAGCTGTGTGATGCTCCTAATAATGGGTCTTAACGGAAAGAGCTGGGGAAAGATCAGGAGCCTCCCAAGACTCTGCGCTAATGATCACCTGTGCCAGTGTGCCTAGAGCAGGGCATTCCCAGCCAGTGCCATGAGCACAGGTGGATAAACTCCCTCCACTGCCCCCAAGGCTCAGCGCAAGGTGCAGCTCGCTGACTGGCACCTTGTGTCAGACGTTGGCTGCCACCCGCTTCTCTCTGCCTCTTTTGGCTTAGGAGACTGGTGCCGGCTCCCTCGTGCTGTGCTCAGGCTTTGGGAGGGGGCTGCGAGGTGCCCCAGCAAGGCCTGGAGCAGCCCTGCAGCGGGAGCTGCTGCATTGCACCTCCCAGCAGGGAGGGCAGAGCTGTGCTCTTGGGTAGCTGCGCTGTGGATCTGGCCAACCCCAGCAGCCCAGACCTCTGTGTGCTGTCAGGGGCCTGTCCCACTTGAGCCTCTGAAATATCTGGCATTGCTATTTGCTTGGGTTGCTGATGCATTGGAGTCCAGCTTGGATGTAATTGCTCTGCAGCCCACAGTGCTCCATTTCTGTTGGTGGTAGAAATGGCAAAGTTGTAAGTAGCTCTTATGTTGACAGTGCACGGATTTGGTAGTGGTTTTGAGCTGTGGTGTCCTCGCTGTCTGCCATGATGTAATAAGCTTGGTCTGCACATCCTCAAGGCTCAAACCAAGGCCATGGTGTCCCCTGCTTTTATCTTGTCCTTCTTCGTAAGAGATTTGCCCAAGTGAAAACATAGCAAACTCGGCCCTGGCATTGATCTGCCTCTGGTGTCCTTGGTTAGACAGTGCTGGCTGAACAGCAAGGCACTGAGACTGCCAGCTAGGAGCTGGGTGAGGAGGCCACATCAGGCCCTTCATCCCTGAGCTCAAGAAGAGCCTGGCTTCTGCCTTTCCCTGGGGAAAGGCCTTCCCGCACTCCTCATGCTAGGAGCCACTTTTCCCTTTCCACATTAGATAGCATCTGGCAATGGGAAAGGCTCTGCTGGGGGGCTCCTGAGAGGCACCCCATGGTAGGAAACCCCATAGAGGGATACCCTACACGGTCCCTCTGCTCTACTGCAGTGGGACACGGTGCAGTGGGACCTCCAGCAGCTCCACAAGTGCCTGGCCCTCGCTCTGGGGACAGGCTATGGGTTGTTGCTCTGTTAGGGCAGGCAGTGACGGTGTGCAGGGCAGAGGGCTGCTGCGGAAGCAGCCTGTCCGTGGAGCAGAGACGGTGACACTGGCGCGAGCAGGAGGCAGGCTGCTGCGGGCGGGTGACACAGAGGGTCCCTGCACTGGCAGAGTGTGCGGGGCCGGGGAGAGGGAGAGGTGCGAGGGGCAGCCGTGGTGGCTGCAGGATGATCGCCCCGGCGCTGGCAGCCGGAGCGTTGCAGTGCGCGCTCCAAATCCCAGGGCTCTGCAGCAGCGCCGGTGTGAGCGGCACCGCGAGCGCAGCCAGGCTGCCGCAGTACCAGACACAGGCCAGGCTGTGCCCTCCCCACCACCGCACCGCTCAGGGCATCAGCCCCAGGGAGCCTGGTGACCAGCCCTGAGGAGCTTTTGTCACCACTCCTGGGAGGCGGAGAGAGGAGATGTTAATTGCCCCACATGACACCTCGGCGGGAGATGAGCTAGGCAGGCTCTGCAGGGACCTGCGGAATTGGGGGCATCGCCTGAGGTGGGACAGAAAGAAGGGCACGCAGGAGACCCAGGCAAAGCGAGGTTGGACAGTCCCCATGAAAGGGCTCGGATGCCAAGGTGATTGGCAGCAGGTCCCAAGTCTCACTAGAGGGAGAAGTTGGTCATGGAGACAGTGTTGTGTGGGCGAGCAGGGAGCTCCCAGGGCTGGCAGCCACCCCAGGTGGAGGATGTGCTGGGAGCAAAGCCTTTTTCCAAGCCAGATCGCGGCTGCTGGCGCGCGTGCCGGAGCGACGGGACTGTGCCAACATGCTGTGCTGCCTTTCTTTATAAGGTCCCTTTTGTAACTGCAGCAAACAGTGAGCGGGTGCCTCCCCTCGCAGGCGCCGGAGCAGGTTCCTCAGCTGGTCCGGAGTGGCCTGAGCACTGCGGTGTGCTGGGCAGACTGGCGGGCCGGCGCAGAGGGACGTGTGGGGCCACGGGCGGGTGGCCAGTCTGCCGAGGCCATTCCCAACTGGAGCTGTGAAGGGCAACAGGAGCCGATCTCGGCGGAGGTGGCGAGATCAGGAGCTGCAAACAGGGCTTGTGGGGAGCAAGGGAGAGGGGCCTGGGCTGCCACAGCAGGCATGTGCCCTGTGTGTGTGCAGGATGTGCACGGGGGCACCAGCAACACCGCAGCATGCTCGGGTATTGCAGAGGGGGAGGAACTGGCCAGGGCAGAGGAGGGGGACGAGTGCCAGGGACACGCGTGCCCGCCTGGAGCCCCACGCACACGCAGCCGAGCGCTCGATCCCAGACGGGCAGGCACGTGCACACCAGTGAGCTGGAAGCGCTCCATGCTGCACAC